ATCATTGTGTACCTATGCTATATAAGTTGCATATTATTTTGTTTATACAATTAGTTTTAAGTCCCTACCCTTATAATTTTTTGCAATTAAATTTTCTACTGAATCAGATAAGGCAGGGTTGAGTAAATCAAAAAAAGATAATTCGTTATTGAATTTTCAATATTGTTTATACATTAATTGTAAGTATACTTCAATCAGTCATTTAATCAATACAATTATTTTCTAATTATTTAAATTATAATTTATACATTAATTATTCGATAAAAGTATGGATACTTAGAATGGTATACGCCATACCGGTATGTAAATTATGTCACGAATTAGGAAAATAATGTTTGTGAGTTTATTAATTATCATTCATTAAAAGAAATTTAAATAGAATCAAAAGCAAGTCAAATAAGAAATTTAAAAACAAAAAAATAACTTTAAAAATGTCGTATTAAATCGTCTACCTTTTTATGTGTTATTTAACTAGTTTTTTATAGAACAAGTTTGAATAGAAAATTAAATGCTTAGGGTTCGAATGAAAAATTTGTAATTTATTCTATGTCTTGTCAACATAATATCTAGAGTTTTTCATTTTTTTTCTCTAACTAGAATATTTGTTTTATTGTTGTGTGCTTACTGAATACTTATACGAGTATGTTATTTGTGCTATTTGGTACATGGTTCCCAAACAATATTTAGCAAAAACGAGAATCGAACGTTTTTTTGTTTTTGATGAAGACGAGCTTAATCTGGGAACGGTTATTTTTAGGAAAAGGGCTATAATTAACTATAATCATAATTATTAAATAATAATCACCAGAGCATATTTTAACATATAAAGTGCGTGGCACTAGTGCCTCCCTTCCCCCAGCGAAAAATAAGCGTCGAGACCAAAGGGTTGGTTTCACCTTTACTGCAGGTGACCTATATACTATTATCTCCAGCAGACAATTTTGCCTATGTGCCACCCACTAAATATGACTCAAAAGTTAAAATATGCTGTGATGAGTACTTTATTAGTGACTACTTCACAATACTGCACTTGCTAACTGGTAAGTGCAATATGCCAATATATACACGTACGCGTATACAGGCCGGAATATGTCTACTTACATGTAGGCATGGTTTGTTCTCAATTTTGACACTGTAGCAGTGAGCCACTCCGATATAGTTCATCGTTCATCCCCTAGCGCCTATATATTAGATCTTAAACTGGCTTGTACTTATACACAATATACATACTTACAACCCGACTTGCTACCTACTATGTATTATAGTGCGGATCATAAGCGTATATACATATAATCAATTTGCCACTATACGAATCGATTATGGGGGGGAGCGGAAATCACCTACCCCCAAATCATCGCCTCCACCATAACCTCCACCGCCACCACCACCACCACCACCACCGCCCCTAGGTCGCACATTTGCGCACACAATTATGATGATGAATGATAATATTATGTATATGTTATGAGTCGTACCTTATATATATGTACGCGCGCTCCTCCGAGATTTATACGTAAACGCACAATCGCATTACGCACAGCCGTCCGACCGTAATTATTATTATTTGGCGCCCGCAAGCGCAGCGATAATGTTTTAATAACAATAATAATAATAAACATGTATATACATGATTGTAGCTATACATAACGATTATATAATGATATTCGGTTAATAATGACGTTTCGACCGGGCCCGCCACGGAAATACGATTATATTGTTGTCGGGCGGAAAATGAAATTAAACTCCTCCGCGCGCGGTTTATGTAATATCGAAACAGTACATATTATATTATTATTATTATTATTATTATTATTATACGTGCCACCCGATTCTCGCCCGAGCCGTCTGCTTACAATTATATTATATTATTATGTTATTATTATTGTGCCGATGTATATTATAACGGTGCAATATTATGTCCTGCGGCAGAGCTATAATTAAGGGATTATAATATTATGTGTGTTGACGGAGGGAGCACTATCACGAATCGCTCACTCCACGTCCCTATATATTATATAATATAATATAGGTAGTCCGAATTTTTTTTTTCTTGCGATTAATATGTGTACATAATTATATTGGACATCGGCCAAGTCGTACCTTCTACCATTATAATTGTGGTGAGTTCCGTTTAAATATATTGTTATCAAATGCGCAACTTGTATCGGTAGCACTAAAACTGTTCACCTATAAGCGTGACTTGTTATTCTCCTGAGAAAAACCACCCCCGATAAGTACTCGTGTATTCATATTCACCACTCAAGTGTGTTTTTTTAAATTTATTTAATATTTATACTATAGGTGTTCGGTGACTTTTTAATACATTTCATGTACTGCAGATGATGATTTGAGGATGCTGATAACATTAGTTAGCCATTAATAATTCTTTCGACTTTGTAATCGGTTGTTTTCGCGTAAATTCAATCTATTGCTGTGTAGGTAATATTGAAAAACGTTTCACGTTTAATGTTTTTTTTTATCGGTAATTATATTATAACATAATCATTTTTACAAGAATATTATTTTATATTATATTTATACTGCTTTAAAACGTTACCTACTTCAATTATAATCCTTCTTAAATGTACTATGTTTGATTAATTTATCATGGAAACAAGCTTGCATGGAATCTTTATGCTGCAGTTTTAGTCGTCAGTCTATAAAGCGTAATGAAAACATTGAAATAAATGTAGATAATTGTTATTGAGTAGGTATACTTAATAGTTATATTATGTACAAAATTAACAAACATAATTTTAGATTTATCTTTTTACAATTATTGCCGAAAATAGGGGAAACTGTATCTTTTTTGCATTTTAAGAAAGTGATTTTAATATTTTTATATGTTTTGTTGTTCTCACCACTTCTAAGAGAGATACAAGACAGCTTTATAAACATTACAAAAAAAAAAAACGAATTTCTAATTAATTGCTTCCTGAACGTTTTGTTGAGTTTTGCAGTTTTGTTTGTTTTTACATTCGTTTTTATAAAAGTATTTTATTGTATTCACTTTGCTTTTACAATATTTGTTAAGACACGTTAAATTAAAAAAAAAGAAAATATAAAGGAAGAGAAAAACAAATGCAATTTATTATTAACCACCCAATATGCATGATATAATGCCAGCGTGTAATATTTAAACATCGCAATTGATTTGTTGTTTACCCGTTTCGCAAAAGAGTTATAATATTCAATTTGATCCAACGGTAGGTATGCATAATATATATACATAGTATGTACATATAATATATTATATATAGGTACAGCAAATAATAACATTTTATTAAAAAACAGACTTGCGGAGTGAGAGTGAGAGAGAGAGAGAGAGAGAGAGAGAGAGAGAGAGAGTGAGAGAGAAAAAATGTAAATTAACATTTCCTTACTATATACCATATTTGTTACTGGAGGACCGGTATAGAAGTGGTGAAGAGGAGCTTAACTTTATTATTCTTGTATACCTACTGTTGAAGACACCGCCCCGTGACCGAGGTGGAATTGTATATAATAATAATCGTGGCGAATGTTTAAAAATGCATTGAAATTACTATGTTGACGACGGCAACGACGACAACGAGGACACGTATTACGCATACTTCATGTAAAATATTATATATATACAGACAATACAAATTTAAATAATTTAAGACGTTGCAGTGTATATACAGAGAAAAAATGAACAAGCGCACACAATATTTATAAATACTTAAATACGTATGCACTGCAGTGTGATTTTTCATAATATTAATTCGTTTTTACTCATTGATATAATATCTTTTGTCAGCCAAATCGTTTTCAAAGTAGTAAATTTAAAGATCTTAAAGATTGTCAACAAATACCTATGTAAAGTGTACGCTGCACAACTATTGTATGATTTGTATGGGTAGTAGGTTCGTATAGTATCGTTGAGTAATTTGTGCAGTTTGATAATTAATCGACCCAAGTCAAATACAATAAAAACTCCTTCACACCATACTATTGTACGGAAGAAAATATTGTGGACTTGTGAGAAATACTCATTTGATTATCGTTTGTGTGTTACGGCCCGAGTCCCCAAATATACTGGTTTAACTTCAGGATATGTCAAATTTGAAATTTCAGATATACGTCAAGGCAACGTGGCATGAATCAAACTAATTTGTATTTAAAATTCACACAAACTGTTCTAAATTGAAAAGAAAACGTTTTCCTAAATATCATTCAGTATCGACCTATGCACGCCAAGTTCAAATGAAATCACCCCGTATTTTGCGCGCACTCATACTCAATGTTATATAAAATAAAATGTAATAGGTATTACACATTTGTGCGGGTTTTTTGTTAATTTTAATTAGAACGAACCCACCGCGCCGCTAACGCCGTCGTTTATACACAAATATATATATGTACGTTACGCTATACTTAAATAAAAGCTTAACACTCACCCCCTCGCCGCAGTACTCGCGCGAGGACCCGTAGCATTGCACCCTGGACGCGGAAAAACGTTTCTCTCTTTCGCAGAAATGTAACGAGTAATTATCGACGGATTACGTGGGTACACCCCCCCGCCGGAGTCAGATTAACCCTCTGCAACCCGGTCGCATACATATACGTATTATATTGTGCAGTAACCGTTTCCCCTCGGCGCCCACTCCAAACAACACACCCGCCGCCGCCGCCGCCGCTGTTGAATGGCAGTCGTCAAAACCCGGTGCAGCGCGCCTCGTCGTCTTCCTTTTCCGCTCCCGCGTCCTCTCGGCGTATCTACGGCAAATCGGCTCTCGTTTAATTAATTTCGCCTTTTCGGTTTTCCACGCGCTAATGATTCCGAGTACACGCAAACACGCTCGCCGTACATAATAATAATAATAATAATAATAATAATATAGACGTCGACGTCCCGTTTGCCGGCGCCGAAAGAGTTCGATTATAAGGCGGCGTGGCGGTGCGCCGTGTCCTGGAAATGGACGCGCACTATACGCCCGCCGTATTAACGCACGAACTCTCGGCGAGGACGAAAAGCGTCGGAATTCGCCTCCGTGTCCTTATACGCACAAAGTACTGAACTGCAGTACCTACTCTACGCGTATTGTTTTTCATTTATCTTCTTTCCCGCGCCTCTTTCCGTTTCACTCGAGACGAATAGCGACTATTATATTATGCATTAGTGTATACACATGTACCTACAACTAATAGCTAACGTTTAAACGATAATAATAATAATATTTTAAGTTTAATTTTTCGTCTATGAAAGGAAAGTTAATAATATGATCGACAATTGAGACCTAACACGCGATAGATAATATCGAAAACCACCTAGTCGATAATTATACACTATATATAAACTATACACTCTGCAAAAGCGAAGCCAATATTTTAAGCTCTCCGGGTTTTATTGCGTGTTCACTAAGAAAATGCAATATGCTTACGTTGCGCTTTTTAGTCAGCCACAATTCAAAAATCATAAATAATAATGATAATAATATTTATTATTTGTTTTCATTGTTTCGTAATTGCAGTTTGTGCAGTAAAATGACGTTAGCGAAAATGGATCAGAGGTTCCAGTTGATCACTCATCACAGGGATGACAAACAGACCGAACCACCAAGAGCGCTCAATCCGGTGATCAATAATTCTAAGCCGAACAAAGTAAGCTCAGAAATTGTAAAAATCTTACTTTCATCGGTTTTTATTTTGTTCGATTAGTTTTTAAATCTTCGATAGAGTCGAGTCTCGATGTTCTTGAATGCCATTTAAAAACTATGCGTTGTCAATGTTTTTTTGGTGATTACTCGAGAACTATTCGATTTATAATTATAAGCAAATCAACGGCTGAGATAAAGTTAAATAAAGATATTAAATGGTTTTTATAGTTAACAATAACAAAACATTAATTGTACTCTCGTGATGAAGTGGATTTATCAGGATAATTCTATAGTGTTAAGGTTGTATATAGAACAAGAAAGCAAATAGTTTCTTTAGGGTTATTGTATTATATTTATTTAGAAGTCATCAAGTGGCGTGGATAAATAGTCGGAGGGAGCGTGGCGACCTTTTAATAGGGGAATTGTCGTTCCGGTCGGGAGGTTTACAAGTTTACGATGCGAGTAAATGACAATAGCTTTAGCCTTAAAAATAAAATAAAAAATGACAAAACGTTATTTTTATTTGTTTGCTTTAAACACTTAAAAGGCGAACTGAATCGACGAAATTAAATTTACAAAGACGTCGCTCCTCTGACAGATATCGAACGAGTATTATTACCGATCGACTTGAAATAAACAAACAATTTAATTTATGTAGTTATTATTCTGACCGAATTCCGTAAATGTGTGTACAATATATACACTGTAAAATTGTGTCAGGAAAAATTGGATTTCGCAAAATTTTCAGAATCATGAAATACAAGCATATTCCAATATTTTTTCCGATAACCCGATGAACTCGAATGACTCGAATTTTTGTCGACTTTACGAGCCCGCCGTAAATTTAAAATCTAACAATACCAGCTATATATTACATACATCAGTTGGTCAACATCTATTATTATGATACAATACATTTTGACGTATACAATAGGCTTATCGATTAATCGAGTAATTATTTGGTGGGCATATAAAATCAGTTCTTAAACTATACGCGTCATAATAATAATAATAATAATAATAATAATAATAATAATAATATTATAATCGTGGCGCGGCGCGAATGCGGGCAAAGCACCTGAGCAGGTTCTGTTTTGTCTGTCCAACCAGGTGGGCACGGTGATCCTGTACGGGGTGCCGATCGTCTCGCTGCAGATGGACAACCAGGAGCGGCTGTGCCTGGCCCAGATCAGCAACACGCTGCTGCACCGGTTCAGCTACAACGAGATCCACAACCGGCGCGTGGCGCTGGGCATCACTTGCGTGCAGTGCACGCCGGTGCAGCTGGAGATGCTGCGCCGGGCGGGCGCCATGCCGGTGTCGTCGCGCCGGTGCGGCATGATCACCAGGCGCGAGGCAGAGAGGCTGTGCAACTCGTTCCTGGGCGATAACACGCCGCCCCGGCTGCCCGACGACTTTGCATTCGCGGTGCACCACGAGTGCGCATGGGGCTGCCGCGGCTCGTTCTTGCCGTCCCGGTACAACTCGTCCCGGGCCAAGTGCATCCGTTGCGCCGTGTGCGGTCTGTTCTTCTCGCCCAACAAGTTTATATTCCACTCGCATCGCACGGGCGCGGGGGCGCGGTACGTGCAACCGGACGCTGCCAACTTCAACTCGTGGCGCCGGCACATGAAGCTCAGCGACGACCCTCCCGACCACGTGGTGCACGCGTGGGAGGACGTCAAGGCCATGTTCAACGGCGGCACCCGAAAACGGGCCGTGTCCAGGCCGTCGCCGCCGTCACTATTGCAACAACAGCACCAACAGCAACAGCAACAGCCGTCGCAACCGCTGCTGGCGCCGCATTCACGACAGCAGTCGTCGGCTTCGTCGTCGCCACCGTCGTCGTCATCGTCGGCCGCAGCCGCCGCCGCCGCGGTAATCGTGCAAATGCCTCAGCCCGTCATCCAGTCTGCGGCTCACCTGCACCACCATCATCAGCATCACCAACACCACCAACACCGGTCGCCGGAACTGCAGCACAAGAAACCGGCGCCGGTGCCGCCGGTACAGGTGCCGTCCATGCCGCTACACCAGGCCATGGTCGATTACGTGTGGCAACAACGGGCCAACCCGTTTGCTGTGGCCGCGGCCGCTGCAGCAGCGTATTCCGCGGGTGGCGGCCTGCCCTGTTGGCTGCCCAAACTCGAGCTGGATCCACACCATCACAACGCGCTGGTCAACCGGAGCTCCGTCGCGGCCGATTATTCTTCCGCTTTCAGGCCTGTGTACCCGGTTACCGTGGCCGCGGCTGCTGCTGCCGCCGCCGCAGCCGCCGCCGCTGCGTCCAAGTCGGTTGATGGCGAAGGAGCTGATGACGGCGACGACGACGAACCCGGTGGCGGCGGTTGTTGCGTGGACGAAGTGGACGACGATGACGACGAAGACGACGACGACGACGAAATAGACATCGAAACGTGTCCCGACGAGAGAAACACGTAGGACCGACAGGCGGCCATTTATTTTTTTGATTTTTTGTATGATTATTTTTTTTATAGTTATATACTCTACCTTTGTTTATCAAGCGATACGTACGCGATTAATGCGCGATATTATTAATTATCGACGAGTTCAGGTCTCAGTTCAGTTCAGTTCACTTCGGTTCAGTGCGTCTAATAGTATGAAAATAGCAAGTGGACGAATTTCGAAACGTAAAACCTGTTTTTGTTTTTAACCTCGCATCTGATAATGTAATATCACCAGATAGGGTATCTTACGTTTTCAAAAAAAAAAAAATCGTTAATCGTTATGTTTTGGACTTAGGTACTGTACACTTCGTGTGAAAAGTAAGATTGGCGAAGTTATTTAGTACAACATCAGTATATATATCTTCGGGGTGACGTAGAATATTTGTTGACCTAAAGTATTCTATAAATTTATAGGTATATTATCATTATTTATTTTTTAACGAAAGTTTTTACGAAAACGTATATGTTGTACGCACAATAGAAAGTGATGACTTGTATTTTCTTGGACGCTCGAAGCTTTAAACGTATAAGTTTTGTCATCGTAAAAGGTACCGGATGAGGCCTATGATATATATTACATAATTTAATGAATTTATTTCTTATTTGTACCTTCTATAAATACCTATACAATATTATAATACGTTGTAATAAGTCGCGACGCACTTAACCACTATACTGTTTTGTCAAAATTACAGGAGCTCTAGCTGCTGAATAGATATTATTTATATAACTGATAAGTGATAACAATACGTGTTTTATACTATACGTCATATTATTATTATTATCATCATGTAAACGTCGTATAATAATTATTAATTATTAAACCGCCGCTTCGGCGTCCGACGATATACGCTGTAGACTGTAGAATATTATTGAACTTTTTAATCGGCACATTACAATATTATATATTATGTATTATATTATATTATCTATTGTTTATGTAAACATTTCGATGTCTATTTGTTAAACTTGAGTGATTGTTAAAACGTAATATGTTTGATTCCCCTACCCTTTTTATTCTACATAACATAACATAGAACATAATAATATCATAATAATATAATATCATAATGTTAATACAACAATAATAATAATAGTAATAAAAAAAAGAAATAGTTTTTTTTTTTATTATTTGTACACTCACTTTAATACACCTACCTATCTACTAATAACATTACTGTCGTTATTATCGTACATTATGTACGCTATTTTTTATACTCACATATAAAAAAAAAAAAAAACACGGTGTACGCACACAACACGGCCATTATATCATGTACCTATATATAGCTGTGACGCGTACGTTATTATTTAAATGAAAACGGCAACCCTCGGGTGGCGATTGGAGTGTAAAGGAAACCCGAGACTGACGTGTCGTATAATTAAAAGACGATCCCAGAGGGAGCGCAACGGTGGCGTTTGGCTAAGGTCAACGGTTGACATTTGGCGAACCGTTTTTAAACGTCGCTTTTAAAGCGAATCGGAAACGGTCCCGGCCGGGGAATACTCCAGTGTATTATTATTATTATTATTATTATTATCATTATCATTATTATATGCTGGCAGCCCGTACTTTACCCAAATCGGATTACCGTGGGTTTTATTTATAGGGAAAACCATTGTACGGTTACCGCTGGATAGGTACATACCGACGAATCGCGGCATCGAGTCAATGTTTGTTTTCTGCCATCGAGTGCGTATTGCGTATACCGTTACCGCAGTATACCACCGCGGTTATACGCAACAATCCTACGTCTCTGATGAATCGTATATTATAGTCTTGATGCTGTGTGCCAATATTCGGCCAGTGCTGCAAGGATAGGTTTCCATTTCACTTACTCCGTGCATATAATGAACATTCACGTTCACCTCGAATGCACGTTTCGCATCGGTCGACAATGGTTACCGACAAATCGCAGCAAAAGGGTTTATATGCACGTGCACGTCGAGCAGGATGTTGTATCGTGTTGTTGGAACGCTGGAAACCTACCTTAACTATTATATTATTATCGTTATCATCGTCTACATCAAGGGTCGTTGTCGCTATAAGTATAAAGTAGGTGTTTGTGTGTGTGTGTGTGTGTGTGTGTGTGTGTGTGTGCGTGTGTGTGCGCACTCGCATAAGGGTGCAGCCGGCGCAGGGTAGATATTTTATATTGTTTTATTTTCTGGCCCGGCCTATGTGTGTATTATTATACAATATATAATATATGCACGCGGCACGAGCGAACGTAATATTATGACATGAGAGACAATACGCGCCGATGAGTCACAGAAGGACTCCTGTGCCTAGTAATAATTAATGCCAAATCGTCGGAGGCATGGCGAGGGCGAGTGGAGGGGGTGTGGCTCTCGCGTGTACCTAAATATTTGTACATTATATCCGTCGGGTTCGATTCAATCGTATTATATACATACCACGTATAATATTATATCGTTGTGTACATGCGGAAAACGCAAACACGGCAGCGACGACGCAATATACGCAACCATTGTAATTATTATTATCGTCTGTGCAAGTTTAATCGTGCTCGCGAGACCGGTGAATAATTTATGGTACGCGAGCGCGGACCGGGCGGCGACGACGCGATCATTCGCCTAGAGGTCGCACACCCGGCAGAGTATAAATAATAATAATAATAATAATAATAATAATAATTCGAATAATATAATAATATAATAATAGCGGGTCCGCGGCACGAGCGCGTCTCTATTGTTATCGCGTTGTTTTCTATTTTTTTGCTCTCCATTTTCATCCCCCTGTCGTCCCGGCGTTAATCGTCCCCGCCGCCCGCCGTCACTTGCTTTATTTACATTTTTTTTTCGGTATCTCTCGTCGAGCGGCACCGCTCTACAACGTACGATACAGCGGCCGTAACGCACTTTATTATAATATTACAATATTTATTATAAAGTAGGTAGGTATATATATATATAGACAATCCATTGAGGTAATACACCGATGCGCATTAACATTTAAACATTTAATGCAATATCGTCGTGTTTTCGGTAAGTATAATAATATTATAGGTATGTTTCACAAGTGTCTTCTTGAAATTTGCCGTGGAAGAGATCTTTTGAGTTGGTCCACCCATGTATAATATACATATACAGTTTGTGATACTGTGGCTATTAACAAGCACGGGAGATGGGTAAAAAAGATTCCGATACGACTTCCTATCGTTTTTCTGGTATATTATTATTATAAAAACGTTCCGTCTGTTATAATATCATATACTTACCTAAATATAAAATCATAATGATGGCGTATAATTTTCCGTCGTAATACGATTTATTCTTAAGCAAACAGAACCCTTGAAAAGGCCTTTAGGAGTGTTTGTTTTCAATTAAATGTAGAACATTCGATTAAAGCGAGGTTTTAACAATACGTCTTATATTTACAATAATGCTATGGGTATATATTATACCTGCCGCAGTAAGTTATATATGTGTATGAAATGGAAACATATAATGAATTGAATGATAAAAAAAAACACATAAATATCGTGTCACTTGAACGTTTTCACTTTTCATATCATTAGAAAACATTTAGGTAATTAAAAAAAAATAATAAGACAGGTGCCTATCGATATTTTGTGTAGTATTATTGTGTGTAATGCTATTATAAATTATAATGCATCATCACTTAGTTGAAATTAAATGTTATGTAAAAATAAATATATAATTCCATATATCGTGCTAGATGTCAAAATATGCCAATATAATATGCATGGACAATGGACATAAACATATTACACCCACAACTATTATATTATATATTGTACATACAATTTCATTACATCGGGCTGCTACAGATATGAAAAATCCATTGTTACCCTTGTCAGTTGTTTTCACAATATAACTTTAATATAGTTTTGATTATTTAATTACTTAAATAGTAGATACTATAGTAGTGTAATGTATTATTGTATCTGTGCCTCCAAGGAACATTTCATTTTTACCGTGATAATCACACCGTGTTTGACCGACAATATCCAATTCGAAAAATTAATATTTTTAACCCTCAATTAATATTTTTGGAGCGCCGCATTAAAATTCAGGAAATTTTCGTTGGCATCAAAATGTAATATATATTATGTTGAATCAAAGAAAGTAAAAGTACAATTAACAGCAGTGAAAACCTCATACCATCGATGATGGATTATAGTTATTAACTATTGAGCAACAAAAATAAATACTAATTGACAATAGTAGATAATTGATCAGAAACAAAATTGTACTTTAACATTAAATTAAATATAAATTACTTACTCCAATTGTATAGCTATTACTTATTTTCATTATTGTAGTTAATCGGCCATTGTAATTTGTAATCAATTTGAATTGAAAATATTGTAATAACAAATAATATTTGTAATTTGGTAATAATATTTTTTGCACCCCTCAATTTTTGTGACTTATAACTTATAAGCTATAGGTACCTATATACCGTTCAGAATTACTAAAAAATAATATACTTTTTAAATTACTTTTTTGACATTCATAAAACCAAATTAAATAGAAATAGCCAATATGTACTGTTTTGTTGTGATAATTATTTATATTCGTTAAGTCTTTGACGAGAATATTATTGAGGATAAATATTTAACATCATAAACTGAGGATTACCTACCATCAGATATTAAAAGAAATGTATTTAATTGTTGAAAACGTGAATAGGTGCTATTAACGTTAAAAGATAAATAATTTTCAATAAATTGCAGGCGTTTAAAATGATTGCAAGTAAAGTGCACAACTGCACAATGAATTTAATAAAATAATGTGACCTGTAAGAAAGATAGCATTAGGAAAATCTAAATATTATTATATCTTATCATTATTGTTCACAAAATTTAAAATATTTTATAGTGTATTACTATACATACACAAAAACCAGTTATGGGCACTGATAGAATAGATACCTACTATAGATAGCATATCAAACCTACTGAACATGATTTTTTCACTTACAACAAAATACACCTATACTGTAATATTTCAAAGGTGGTATCATTGGGGTATTACACCTCAAGGTGTGAACTATTACTACAAACAACAATAGGTATTAGAATCAATCGTTAAAAAACAACTTAAACAACTTTTATTACCTGGTCTTTCATTATGAATGCAATTTAACATAAATATAATGTATTGATAAAATTTATCATGATGTGCTATGTTATGAATTTATAATATTTTTAAGGACGTACCTATAACCTATTTATATGTTGTCGAACATAATTAGGTATGTGTGTTTTGAAAAATCTGTTCTGTATAAACTGCAGAAAAAAAAATATATTCCACTTGACTTAGTTACAGCCCAGGCTGTTCTTCGCTATTGTTTTAATCATTTGCAGTTTGAATTCACTTAAAATATCTGTCGTCGAGGTTTCTATCACCACCACCACCTGCACCACCTCTTTACACCACGATAGTTGTCTCCGTCACTACCACTG